GTCATGGTGCTACGTCCCTTAGGACTTCGCTAGTGGGATATCACTCGTGACCCCCAGGTCACACGCCAGAGAGATCAAAATAATTTGCTCCAATCACCAGCCACCGTCCTCTATAAATGCCCCTGCACAAGGCCGCACCCCCTCTTTCACTCTGGCGCCGTTTGAGATCTACCACAGTACTTACTTCATTCTGAGATGTCTTCCTTGTTCGTCCGAGTTCCCTTCGCCCTCCGGCGTCGGACGTCGTCACTGGATCCAGACGGTGGAGGACTTCACCTCTGTGGGTGCCACCACTCGAGGAAGGAGGAGGATGCAACCCACGTTGTGCCCGCGGATGGACCCGTTCGTCCATTACGCGACACGTGAGTGGCCTAAGCCCCTAGCAGCCAAGAGGCCTGCTCTGGGGTACGACATATACTGCAGCGGGCAGGACTGGTCCTGGACCGGTGATCGAGGATTCAGTCCGCATGGCCCTGCAGCCCTCCGCATCCGTGTGGCCCGGCACCAGACCTCTCCTTCTCTCCGAGCGGGACAGGATGTCTTGCCGAGGCTGGATAGATGTTATGCCAATGCGGCACAGGTCGTCACATTGACTAACAACATGGCATTCATCACGGGGGCCCTGGATAGGTCGCTCTCCTCTGGCCAGGCGCTCAGTGGAGACCTCCTGTCACAGGCGAGGACCACCTCGGCGGCGATCCTGCGCATGTGCCAGACGCTAGCCGTGGATGGTGGCCAGGACACCGAGGATTCAGTCCGCATGGCCCTGCAGCCCTCCGCATTCGTGTGGCCCGGCACCAGACCTCTCCTTCCCTCCGAGCGAGACAGGATGTCTTGGCGATGCTGGATAGATGTTATGCCAATGCAGCACAGGTCCTCGCATTGACTAACAACATGGCATTCATCACGGGGGCCCTGGTTATGTTGCTCTCTTCTGACCAGGCGCTCAGTGGAGACCTCCTGTCACAGGCGAGGACCACCTCGGCGGCGACTCTGCGCATGTGCCAGACGCTAGCTGTGGATGGTGGCCGCTCCATGGCAGCAGCCCAAGTCGGGCCAGGCACCTTTGGCTTGGGCTGGCTAATATCAGGGAGGCGGAGAGGAGGCAGCTGCTGGACCTGCCCACCTCTTAGATGTCCCTCTTTGGCCCGGACAGGCAGGCCTGGGTGGTGAGACTGGAGTCTGCAGCTAAAGACTCGGCTAGGCTAGCCCCGCACCTAGCACCGAGGCGCAAGGCCCACCAGCCATTACGGAGCCGGGACAGAGGCAGAGAGCGTTCGCCCGGGAGGCATCCTGACCCGTATCCGCGCTCTGTTATCCATCGTCCCCCCTCGACGAGGCCCCCGGGTCCAGACAGACCCATGGGTGGCTCGCGGGAGCAACGCACCCACCACCGACCTCCCTATGGTAGAGGAGGCCGGGGTGGAAAAAATTTTCCTTCAATAAAGGCCGACCGGCATTTCATCATTACTTTTCTGAGTCTGATTTGGGGGTATGTAACATGTCAAATATTGCGAATTCTGATTGTGTTACTTCCCGGGCACATAACGTTGCTTCGCTAGGCCTGCAGCCCCAGAGAGGGGCGTGCAGTGCACTACGCGAACTACGAGCTCCGGTTTCTCTGATCCATACTATGCCCTCCCAGAGAGAGGTCAGGCGGAGGGATCTGGTGAGTGATATGTGTGTGCTTCGGCCGAACGCGTGTTAGCATCTCTGAGCTACAGGGCTAACACGGGGTTTCCCACTCCAGGGGCTCGCCCCCCCCTCCATGAGGCAAGAGCCAGGGGGGGGGGCACAGCAGCCGAGTCACGTGTGGTGAGCAGAGCTACAAGGCTAACACGGGGTTTCCCACTCCAGGGGCTCGCCCCCCCCCTCCATGAGGCAAGAGCCAGGGGGGGGCACAGCAGCCGAGTCACGTGTGGTGAGCAGTCCCGTACTTATGACGTCGGGCCTGCAGAACACGTGACCGCCCCCGGCGCTCACGGTGTGACGCAGGGGGCCCCCCGGCCCTTTCGGCCACCCCCCTTCCCTGCTAGGAACACCAGGAGAGGGCGGGGCCGTGACGTCTCGTGTTTCAGCTCCCGTTCCGGCCCTCACAGACTTCTACAGCATCTGGAGGGAGCTGGGTTGGATGACAGTATATGGCTGGAGATTACATTGCGCAGGGGTTCCGCACTGCAATTCTTCCGAAAGCCACCACCTTTCCGAGGCGTACGGGCAGTACGCTCTCAGGTACGGGGATCAATAGAGGCACTGCAAGCGGAGATCTCCTCTCTGCTGAGTCGAGGCGCAGCAGTGGAGGTAGACCCGCAGGACGCCACCAGGGGGCTGTACTCCCCTTACTTCTTAGTGCCAAAGAAGAAGTCAGGCGGGGTGCGTCCCATTCTGGATCTGCGCGTGTTGAACGAGTGCTTTTCCAAACGGAAGTTTCGGATGCTGCCCACAAAGCAGCTACTCGAGTGTGTCAGGGAGGTAGACTGGATGTCCTCCATAGACCCGACAGATGCGTACTTCCACGTGCCCATAGTGCCAGAACACAGGAGGTTTCTGCGCTTCGCAGTGGGAGAGAGGAATTACGAGTACTTATGCACTCGCGCCTCGGACTTTTCCAAGGCGTGGAAGCGGCACTGGAGCCGCTCAGACACGCAGAGGTAGGAGTTTAACCTGCTTAGACGACTGGTTAATTCTGGCATCATCCAGGGAAGTGTCACACGCACTGGGTCCTGTCCCACATACAGCGCCTGGGCTTTGTGGTGAACAGGGAGAAAATTAATAGTTACCTATTGTAACTTAAGTTCTACGAATAGGTGCACGTGTTATCCCACTAGCGAAGTCCGCTAAGGGACGTAGCACCATGACGTAGAAGCAGGCTGCAACCGGCTCAGCGCATGATCTATCTCGGCCTGCAGCTAGACTCTGTGACATTCCGTGCTGCATTGTCCGTGGACAGACGGATGAATATTACCCGTCTGGCCCGGGAGGTTCTGGCGGGCCCCAGAGTCCCCGCTCGGCGCCTCAGGTCCCTGCTGGGAATGATGGCGGCGGCTCATGCTGTGGTGCGGCTAGGCCTTCTCCACATGAGGAATTTTCAGAGGTGGTTCTCGCGCCTCAGGCTTCACCCCTCCCGGGATGGGGGGAGGCTGATCTGGGTTCCCCAAGTGGCAGCATCGGACATCAGGTTCTGGCTCACTCCGGGTCTATTGCGGGACGGAGTGACTCTGGCCTGCGCCGTGTCTCACGTCGAGGTGTTCACGGACGCGTCGCTCGAAGGATGGGGCGGGGTCCTCGGCCAGTCACATCAACCTGCTGGAGATGGAGGCAGTGCACAGAGTACTGCTGCACTTTGCTCCTCAGCTGCAGGGGAGACACGTGATGGTGCGCTCAGACAACACCACAGTGGTCTCCTATCTGAACAGGCAGGGGGGCACCAGGTCCCCCGCTCTCCATCGCATGGCGACGGTGACGCTGCTGTGGGCGGCGCTTCACCTCCTGTCTCTCAGGGCGCGCCACGTCCCGGGAGTCCGGCACGTGGGAGCCGACAGGATGTCCAGGGGGGGGCCCACTCCAGGACGAGTGGGGCCTGGCCCCACGGGTAGCTGCGGAGATCTGGCGAAGGTTCGGCCGTCCAGTGGTCGACCTTTTCGCCAGTGCAGAGAACGCACAGTGCCCGTCCTGGTTCGCCTTAAGGGCCGCGGACGAGCCGCCTTTAGGCGTGGACGCTCTAGCTCATTACCCATGGCCAGGCGATCTGTTGTACGCTTTCCCACCGGTGCGTCTTCTGCCGGTCCTGCTGCGGAGGATCAAACAGGAGAGGAGGTCTGTGATCCTGGTGGCTCCGGACAGTCCGCATGCCCGGTGGTTCCCCTTCCTGAGGGGCATGGCGGTGATGGAGCCCTGGGCCCTCCCGGACGAGCCGGGGGCTCTAGTCCAGGGGGCAGGAGCCCTGTTTCACGCCCGATAATCGGCCGCAGGCTCTGGGCTTGGAGGCTGAGAGGCGGAGCCTCGTAGACCTGGGTCTTCCCCCTGCGGTGGTGGAGACCATTCAGGGAGCGAGGGCGCCGTCCACTGTGAGGGCCTACGCCACGAGGTGGAGGCTATTCAGTGTCTGGTGCGATTCCCGTTCCTGGGATCCCAGGTGTTGCCCGCTGGAGGGGGTCCTGGGATTCCTACAGGAGCTCTTCGACAAGGGTAGGGCTGTCGCTACCTTGGCGGTGTTCGCGGCAGCCATTACTTCGGGTCACGACGGATTCGGGGGGTTCACAGCCCGTTCTCATCCGTGGGTTAAACGTCCATGCGTCTTGCCTGTCCTTTGGAGAGGACGACGGCATGGTGGAATTGTGGCCCAATCCGGCTTTTCTCCCCAAGGTCATCACGTCGGCCTTTAGGTCGAGAGTCATCAGGATTAGGGCTTTCCATCCGCCGCCGCATGCCTCCCCCGAGGAGGAGCGGCAGCACCTTCTGTGTCCTGTCAGAATGCTGAGGCATTACCTGGCCATGACGTCGTCATTCAGGTCGGGTGGTCAGCTGTTTGTGTGTCTGGGCCCCAAGAACAGGTGCGCCCCGCTGTCGGCTCAGCGGCTGGCGCATTGGGTCGCCACGGCTGTGCGGCGGGCGTATCAGACGCAGGGTCTGGCCCCCCCGGTGGGTTTCAGGTCGCATTCCACGCGTGGGATGGCGGCCTCTACGGCCCTTCTCAGGGGGGCGTCGGTCGAGGGCGTCGGTCGAGGATGTCTGCCGTGCGGCTTCTTGGGCGTCGTCCTCCTCTTTCGTCCGGTCTTATCTTTCGGATGTGTCGGACCGGTCGGTGGCCCATTCCGTGCTGAGTGCAGCGGACTGAGTTAGACCGTTGGGTCCCTCCCCTGAGGGGGCCTTCGGGCTATTTCCGCCCTGGTGCAGGAGCTCTTGGGAGAGGCATCCTACAGGTGCGGTACATTTTGTGTGTTTGGTCGGTCTGGTAGTCCATGTCAGGAGCTCTTGGGTGAGGCGTCCTGTGACTACGGATGGCCTACGGTTTGTGTTACGTGGGGGTATCCTTGGTACGAGTGGCCCCGTAACACGCTTGTTTCTTCTGCCCTGAGTCCTCTCACTTTGTGAGGGTCTTGCTCGGGCGGAGCTCCAATCACCCTTCGCTGGCCTGCTGGGAGTACATTTTCCTACGGCCTCCGCGTTGTGTCCCACTAGCGAAGTCCTAAGGGACGTAGCACCATGACGTAGAATTAATAGTTACTTAATGTAACTTAAGTTCTTACGAATAGGTGCGTAGTCCCTTAGCTACGAGCCCATCAGGCCAGCCCGGCTTGGCAGAGTTCAAGAGGGGGTGCGGCCTTGTGCAGGGGCATTTATAGAGGAAGGTGGCTGGTGATTGGAGCAAATTATTTTGATCTCTCTGGCGTGTGACCTGGGGGTCACGAGTGATATCCCACTAGCGACTACGCACCTATTCGTTCTCTCATAATAGGCTAATTTGAGGGCATTTTGCATGTGGTTACCTCTGTCTGCTCATGCTCTTTGCCCTTTTCTAAAGGTGCTCAGAACAGTCATACTGTCTTGATCATGCTGGGTCAGTTCCTGATGTTTGAAACAGAGCATGGAAAGCAAATTAAAGCAGTAGCTCGCTACATGCTGCACATAGCCAAGATTTGGCGCTGAATCAGCCGTTCCTGAAAAACGTACGAGTGTACCGTCTCCCCCTTTATCGCTGGATGCTGACTAATGGTAATATTCTGCTGATCACGTCCAAGTCTTTAACCTCAACCTTCTCCTGGTTGATCTTCTCTAAACGGTATTGTTTTGAGTGATCTAACTGATTATTCTTTTTCTCGTTCTCCATTTTGCGTCTCTTTACGTTCGTCCTCAAATTCCATCAGCTTGACCTGTCAATCACTGTAAAAGGGAGTCACAGACAGTGGAAAGTACAGGTTCGTCGGGGGCGATCCCGCCCCTCAGGGCGCAACTTCTCTGCGCCCCCAAATCGTTCTTTATCTCTGCATTGAAGAGGAGCTACTGCGCACGGATACAACTTTTAACAAGAGTCCATGACGCCTCAGCGCAATCTTTTGCGCCTGAGGCGGAAATAAGTCCTCAGTCCGACACAGGACATCGCTGATGAGCTTAATCAATCAACTCAGCATTAACTATAAGTTTTCTTCCACCTCTGAAGTAAAACACACTTAAATTCGAAATATTTTAATGTTCTTATTTTTTTTAACGTTTTATTCAGGTAACATGGCGAAGTTGTGGTGGTGGAGGCGGCGCCTCTAGCGCCCTCTATTGGCCGGCCGCCACTGCTATTCGTTAGAACTTAGTTACATTAAGTAACTATTAATTACACACAATGTCGTCTTTATCAACATTCGTGGGAAATGTGGATTATTGTTCCATTGTATTGCAGATATTGTGTTAAGCAAATAGGAGGGTCACGTCTCATTAACGAGCGAGATTAGTCTGAAAACAAAGTGTACCAGTTTTGATTGGTTTCTATACCATATTGAGTATTAATATCCGATTATCTACACAAACGTGTAGGTAAACCAAAATTCATTTTCCATGGTATACTATTAACCATATACTTACATAACCTTTTTGGGAAAATGGATCCTTCATGAAAAAAGTGTGATAATTCTAAGAGCATAGCGTTTTTTGTTTTCGGAAGGCATTTGTTAATGGAAGAAAAAAACACTCATGGTCAAAGACTCTTGGTTACATAAAAAGGCTTAAATTAATAGTATCTACAAGTACATTTTTTTCACTGGGGACCTAACAAGAGATAATCTACAGGCGAACATTTTTTTTTACTAGGTCATTTATAATAGAGAAAAGTACTATTGTATCCTACAATGGGGATCACTTAACAGTGCTGAGAGAACTGAATTGTTACTGATTATTGGAAAGGTCTTTCAAGTGATTTCATTTTATTTTGAGCTTTAAGATCCTTCATTGTAAGAAGGACTTTTGAGTAATAACTGCGCGAGTACAACATACCCATGTGTTTCACTTCATGTCACTGACGAGAAGGTCGACAGATGTCTTCGAGAGCGGTGACTTATTTGATCTCACAGAAGTATTAGCTTTAAGGATCTTCGGTCACCTAGGGTTTTCCTGCGACGTTCCACCATCTACAATCACGTGGAAACATGTAAAATGGGACAATACATTTTGTACCAAAAATCTTAGGATACAAAATGCAGCGAGACCTCTTGTGATGTTTGCTACCTTTCTCCTTTCTCCATTCCTCTGCTGTACTTATGTGCTTTTCAACACCAAACACAATCATATGGCATTTCTTTTTGTTATTGCTTTATGAACTTACACAGGAATCGAGGTGCGGACAATCTTGGAAAGCTTAGCGCCAGCAGACCCCCTTTTGACTTAGGAGCCTGATGAACTGTGTCGTTAGGATCCAATGCTTCCCAACGCAATCAATTGCCAGTTTGGAGTGGTGATCTGGTTAAATTCTGCCAGGACCTGCAAAAAAACCTAAAAACTTCAAGTTAAATGCATAGATGTAAAAAATGTGTATCACTGTCCCCCCCCCTCCCCTCTGTATAAAGTGCTGGCCAGCCGCGCTTTGACATTTCCTACAGGTAGGGCAGAATTGACTACTTTCTTGTTGTCGGACTGCATGTAAGCAAAAAAAGAATAATCAAGATATATTAAACAATATCACATGAATTTTTGCTTCAAATGTGTTTAAAGGAGGTCTAAGATTCACTCATAACATTATTAAGCATGGACTTATTCAAAAAAAAACAAAAAAATGAACAGAAAGGACAGGATTTCCAAGCCCCGGCGATCCAAGATGGCGCCCTATTCAAATGAATGGTTGTGCTCAGTGGCGCTTTGTGACGGCATGGGGGCTGAAAGATTAGCGGAAGTTGCCTGAAACTCGCAAAGATCTATGGGAAACTCGCCTGTATTTGGGCATAGTCTGGTCCTCCCGGTTCTGCGCAGTGGATGATCTCCCATAATGCGTTGCGCCAAACACGCGTGTGTGGGTCTCACACCGGGTCTCACGCACGTGCACAGAGGGGCTCGGCCGCGCTCTGACCAATCAGAGCAGTTCCTCAAAGCGGGAGTTAGAGCGAGAGCCAGAAGAGCAGAGTTTGTGGCACTAAAGTGTGGATTTAAACAAAACCAAAGGATTTAAGAAGAAAAAAAGTTCAGGATGACAAGGGACACTAAAATCCCCACAAAATCCGATCTTTATGAAAGCTGTAGGTTCTCTGTCAGCTGAGGTTGAGCTGTTTTAATATGCATTGAGTTCTATGGGGAAAATTTCTGGGTGGCCCACGTGAATTTAGTCTGGTTCAGTCTGCAGTACCGCGAGAATCCCCTGAGCACGTGAGTTATTCAGCTACAAGCTAGTAATACCCTATCCAGTTAATATAATACATCCATGGGGATTTCTCAATCACTGTGTGCGCTCACAGAAGCAACCACAGTGAATCTGCTAATGCTCAGTTTACACACCAGGCAACTGCTGATGGACCACAGATGCAAAATATTGCATTATGGCATTTTTTAACTTACGCAATGCACCTGTCAAAATTATGGTTTTGACTCACGTTAATTACATTTTTTATTAACGCGTTATTTTTTTTAAATACCCGCCCATTTATCCATAAGAATATCACTCAGAATGCTGCGTGTGAGATGGCCTCCTCCGTGGCCGCTCTGGTTGTTGTTAGCGGCTGTGAGTGAGTGCAAGCTTTGCACGGGCTGCAAGCATGGATCTAGCTATTATAATAACAGCAGCAAGCGATTGCTCCGTTCACATACTCAGCGCTCTGCGCACTGTATTTTCCCTGGTTCTTGTCTGTCAGGCACAATCTGCGCACTGTATTCTCCCTGGTTCTTGACTGTCAGGCGTGAGTGTTGCTCGTGTGTGTCTTTGGGAACTAATTATTTTAAAATAGTCTCTTTCAATTGCAAGTTTTGTAATCTGTTTGTTTGATCAATGGATAAAAATAAATGCAATTTAATTAAATGGCACCTTGGCCTGTCTTATACCTGTTTGCCTGCAGGACAGTTCCCTAAACTAACATATCATACTAAAATAGGGTGGGGTTGTTGCAACAATTAATCTACTTAGAAGTTATCCTAAATTACAGCCAGCTAAAGCTCGGTACCACGACAAACGAAAAAGTAACGCAATAGTTACTTTTACTGCTAACTAGTTACTTTTATAGTGGAGTAACTCAGTTAGTGAGTCAATTACTTTTTGGTAGAAGTAACTAGTAACTATAACTAATTACTTTTTCAAAGTAACTTACCCAACACTGGTAATTATATTTGATAATCTCATTTAACTTCAATTGGAGTGGATTTGAAATAGAATGTTAAACATGCGATTAATCGTGAGTTAACTCACCATTACTATGCGATTAATCAACTAAAAAAAATGAATCGTTTGACAGCCCTAGTATATATATATATATATATATATATATATATATATATATATATATATATATATATATATATATAAATTTGAACCGAGAATAGAACACATCTTTCATGTCATGAATAAAAATAAAAAATCCAAACTTTTGGTCTGTACTGTACATACATGAGATGAGCACTTACACTTTCAACATGTCTTTTGTCCTATTAGATTTATTTAATTGATTTTGACATGACAAGCTATAATCAATCATGATCAAATGTGTGTGTGTGTGTGTGTGTTTGAGCATTTACAAAATCCGGGTCTACGGTGTGCTCCCCCTCAACCCTGATTAGCATTTGTATAGCTCACAGCATTGCCATTTACATGTTAAAGCCTCCTGTGGAGGAGGGAGGAGGGGACAACAAACTGCCGAATCCCAGAAATTTCACAGTAATATACAGGGCCGAAAAGAGACGAAAATCACACTTTTCATGCAGTGTGTCATACATGCATTTGTCTTGCTTTCTCAAAGAGCGCACGCTTGATTGCGATTGGTTGAACACGCCTGCCACTCATTCACACTGGAACAATAAGAGGAGGGGGCAGGGCAAGGCTGGCATGTGTCTGAGGATTGACTTATGGATATTTTTTCACTGCTTGCTTCTTTGTTGTACTTTCTGATGACAATTTGCATTTGTCATTTGCATTTACTCAATTGTTTAAGAATACTTTGCATGTTATGTTCACCAAGATAGTATATTTTTATAAGTCCATCTTGAATTGGAGGATTTGCTGCTGTATGGCTTGCTCTTCTGTCTTGGCTATATCTCAAGCTTTCGATCTCACATTGGTTTTCTGCTTCGCTCTGAACGGTCTCAAACGGGCCCTCGGCTAAGTGCATGTAAACCCAGAGCTAATAACAGCCTGTTTCTTTGCCATGAACAGAAAATGATAATATAATTGGTGTTAGCTGTTTTAGTTTGAGTCGTTTTTACCTGATCTAAACCAGCCACCTAGCATTTATTATCCTGCATCTTTAGTTCTGCTTTAGTCCTGCTGTAGTCCAGCTACTTTAGACTTGGTTTAGCCCTGGTTTATTTCTGGTGTAGGCTTGCTTTAATCCTGCTTCAGACCTGCTTCAGACCTGCTTCAGATCATTAAACCTGCTTTAGTCCTGGCTTAGACATGGTTTAGACCTGCTTTAGTCCTGCTTTAGTCCTGCTTTAGTCCTGCTTTAGACCTGGTTTATGGCTCTCCGTGCTCACAGCGTGCTCTGTTGTTTCAGTCTCCGGTGCTGAAGACCCAGACAATCACCATCTCAGACGTCACCAACTCTCTGAGAGGAACTGTGGCCTACAAAGAGATGCCCCTGGTCCACACCGAGACCAAGACCATCACCTACGAGTCGGCTCAGGTGGGACCGGGTTTGCCCTGTCGTAGTCCTCATGTTGTAGACCCCTGCAGGTCTGGAATGGGTCCCCGTTCCTCAGGCCCCACAGGCCCCTCTGTCATACTGCAAACCAGTGTTTCTCAACTGGTGTGTCCTGAAACTACACTCATGTATACAAATACTGGGGACTTATTTATTCTTTAGAAGTGTTTTTTATTCTTATTTTTATTATCTCTTTTTGACTGTTGCACTGAGCCAAAGCAATTTCCAAGTCTGTGACCTCCTGTTACTTACGTGGCAATAAAAATGATTCTGATTCTGATTCTGATTAGTGAGAGACCTTTGATTTCAAACTAAAGATAAGACACGTATACCGCGCACATGAATAATCGTGCATGAGGCAACTCAAGGAATACGGCTGTCCATCGGAGCCTGGTCTGAGGGGAGAGAGCTCTGGTCCTGGTTCAGACCTGTATCCAGGGAACAGAGAGCTGTGTATCTGGTGCGTCTGGTGCTTAGGTCTCGGTTCTGTTCCCTGTAGCATGTTATTGTTCTATCGTTTGCATACACGCACCAGCTTCTGAAGTGCAGGTCATCCTCAGCCCCCCCCCTTCCTCTGAGGCTGAGGCTGCTCTCCTCTAGCTCTGGCGCCTGTGTCTGACTGTTATTATGTACTTATTACTTATTCAATTCATAGATACATCATTTTCCAAACAACATATTTCTCCTTCATATATGATCACTAATGATTTCCTGTTTTGATGAAAGCGTCTGTGGCCTTACTCCACGAGCGGCTGTCGTAGTACCCATGAATAATCCGGGGGGCGTTATTCCACACGTGTTATTTATGATCATTTGTTTTCCGCGTACAGCTGGATTGGAGTGCTGCGCAGAAGTTGATGAACAAGAAAATATATATTAGTTTCACTGCAATAATGATAGTGAGGCCCTTTGTCACGGTCCTGTTCTCTGTCGTGAGGTTCCTGTATTTTAGTAGCGTCTGAATGAATCATGCGATGGCTGCATCAATAGTGAGGGTGAGTGAGAGTGCACGTGCTAAATCACACACTAACATCCTCTGCTCTTACGTCCTGCTGACTGGACACTCTTCACGCTTCGCACTCACGTATCTCTGTGCTTCCCTCTTTCTTTAGAGATGTCAAGTCGGTATTTCTCAACGATCATGTTAAGTAGTAGGGTCAGGTTTACTCACTTCAGCCGTTCTATTTAGGGTAAGATTGATTTGAAATGATTTAGGATGCTTATAAAGTCCTCCTCCTGCTTCTGGTCTTTTGGAGTTGACTTGTGGAATCTCTCTTACAGCCGGGAGACAACATGGCGGAGAAGGACACAGGGGTTCTTTTGAGTGCCCAGACCATCACATCAGAGACCGTCAGCACCACCACCACCACCCAGATCACCAAGGTAACGGCTCAGTCTAAACCAGGGGTGACAAACCGGATCTCAAAGGGCCGGTGTGGCTGCAGGTTTTTTATTACAACCTGAGCAGTAGCGCAGAAGACTCCATCCACTTCCTCAGGTGAGTTCGGTTTTAAGCTGAAGGTTTCAGGAAATGGGTGGAGTTTGGTTTGCTCCTGCTCGGGTTGGAACTAAAGCCTGCAGCCGCACCGGCCCTTTCTGGAACTAGTTTGACACCCCTACTCCAAACTCAGATCATCAAGGTACCCCCTCTGTCTCAACTACTCTCTGGATTTACAAAGACAACAGCACAATTTTTACAGCGGTATTATAGAGAGAGCTAAACTACAGATTTGTATAGACCAAAACGGTGAGTGTGACACAAAAGGGGATTACTTTTACATGTAAGTCCATAGGTGCCAGGGCGAGATTGAGCAAAACTTTGTTCATGAGCACTTTTTCCCTATTTGGCTTGATTGAGTTAGGCCGAGGAGGTTAGCATTGTCCATCTGCTTATAGTCTTTGGTGCCCAGTCACTTAAAAACCTAGATCGACAACATACCCCCCTCACTGAACACCTCTTGAACACATGCTCAAATTAAACGAACAGCTAAATAAACAAAAATACAATAAAATACCAAAATCTGTTGATCAAAAATTATCCTATAAATATAGTCATTATGCATTATTTTCTCCTTTAAACATGACGGTAAGTAGCCTGACTCTCGCCAGACCCTTGTAGTTCCGACATGCTCCACCAGAGGCGTTTGGCTGAAATGCAGCGAACTACATGGGTCTGGCGAGAGTAAGGCTAGACTTACATCAACATTGAATATATTAGAATGTGAAAACAAATGATAAATTATAACAACATTCTACAACAAGTTATTTTATTGTGATCTAATCTAGATGAAACACAATCCAGATTAGATTGACCTCTGACCCTGAGACACACGATTCCTATGATAATAATCTGATGATGATGCTGGCTTATGAAAAGACAAAAGGGTGAGTCAAGTTAAATGTTTATTATATTTATTATATTTATTTACTAAGTATTATTTAATGAATGGTGCATCATGTAAAATCTACGAAGTTGATATAGCACCTCTCACAAACCAGAGTCACCAAGTACTTTACAATAGCTGTGAGCATTTGTCTCTCACTCCAGAGATAGGAGCGAGGTCATCAGGAGGCGCATGGCTGAACTATTGTAAAGGGTTTTAGTGGTAGGAGAAACAATAATAATATAAAGTGAACAATTGTAATCTCCATTCTGAATCATTGTGAACTGTGGAGTATTTCCTCTGTAGCTGAGGTGATCATGAAGGTGGACTAAAGGATATGTATAAATCCATGGGGCTTATCCTGGGGTCAGGGCGGCCCGTCCTCTGCCTGTCCTGCCCCCACACCCCCCTCTGTAGGGCTGATCGATACCTGCAGTAGTGACCAGGGAGAGCATGGACACACAGCTCTCTCTGCTCTCCTTCCATTATAACATTAAAATGTAGAGAGAATATTATGTTTATGACCGTAATTAGTTGAACTGCAAAAGATGGAAGTAGCTATACTAAAATAACAAGGGAATGGATTCAAATCGGGAAACTTTTTTGGTTAATAATAAAGTTTTATACACTAGAACAGACCACTCACAATATTTATAATATATATGTAGCTGCTCCAGACCTCATTGGCTCTGCGCACATTTAACTTAATTCTAATGACTTTGTTCATTCAAACTCACTGAGCCATGCGTTTGTCAAATCAATTATAATTAGACAAAAGCTTTTGACAGTTTTATTATCTCTGCGTCACTTTAGAAACAGAAGGATCGTATTCATTGTCTCTGGACCGGAAGTTTTTCTTAAAGACAGAGAAATTGTTAATGAGGGCAGTGTTAGGGTCAAACATGAGGTGAAATATGTATTTAAAGTGATAGTCTGTAACTCTAAATTAATTACACATTTTAGGAATTGTGTTAAATTGACCTCCTGGCCTTACATTTTGATATAAAATAAGTCATCTCCAGACAATCACTTATATTGGACAAATCCTTGAATCCTTGAAGTGAGGAATGAAATGAAAGTGCACTGCAAAAAATGATAAAATAAGAGGTAATAATTGATTTGAGTTTTTTCAATCTTAATTTGAATTCATTCTGATTCAAGATTCTCTGAAGATTTTCCAATGGGACAAAGCAATTTAGTCTTAACTCAAGAACTGTTGCTTTATTTTCGCTTTCTAAGGAAGAAATGTCTTCTATCTTGAAAGGTTAAAATATTTTTTCTTGTCCCTTTGGCAAATGTTATTTTAAGGCAGTGAGATATGCTTAATGCAGTGTGAGGACCTCGCTTCCATCTCTGTGTGGAGTGAGAGACAAATGCCCACAACAAATGTAAAACACTTTACTTGCTTACTTAAAATAAATACAACTTACTAACCAGATTTGACCATTTGTTTACAAATGTTTTAAGTGGAGTTAACTCAGATCACCAAGGTACCCCCTCTGTCTCAACTACTCTCTGGATTTACAAAGACAACAGCACAATTTTTACAGCGGTATTATAGAGAGAGCTAAACTACAGATTTGTATAGACCAAAACGGTGAGTGTGACACAAAAGGGGATTACTTTTACATGTAAGTCCATAGGTGCCAGGGCGAGATTGAGCAAAACTTTGTTCATGAGCACTTTTTCCCTATTTGGCTTGATTGAGTTAGGCTGAGGAGGTTAGCATTGTCCATCTGCTTATAGTCTTTGGTGCCCAGTCACTTAAAAACCTAGATCGACAACATACCCCCCTCACTGAACACCTCTTGAACACATGCTCAAATTAAACAGTTATTCTTAATTTTATTACAACTCAAATTATGTCAATAATAAGCAGAGTATCCAATGAGAGGGCTGCTGTCATTTGAGTCACCGTAGAAAAAAGTTTGAACACCCCTGGTCCATACACTGCAAAAAGTGATAAAATATCAGTCAAAAATTGCTCAAATTTGCCAAGATGTATCTTACTTTGAACACTTTATGAAACATTATAACAAGAGTTGCCAATAGAAAAAGCTAAATAATCTTGTTTTAAAAAGATACAAGAAATGTTTCCTTTGGAATGAGGCTTTGTCCTATTGGCAAATCTAGTTTTTAGACAGTCAGAATGTACACAAATTAAGATAAAAACCTCTTGATTTAAGCATTTATTAACTCATATTTTATACATTTTTTCAATGTGACAAATGATTCTCACAAGATCATGTTTCACTTGTGCGCACATAAACAAGGAACTTTTTTTCTTGCCCGTCTGTGACACCCGTGGACGTAACATCAAGTGCATCAGGGGATCAAAATATTTTCTTCCAAAGAGTTTAAACATGTCAAAAAATAGTTATTTTGTGAAACAGACCTTTATTGGAACATGGACGAGAGAAGCTTACACACTTTGGCTCTATAGCACTCCTTCTGGGCTCGATTATAACGTGGCCGTCTCAGCTGGTTTTTGAAATAAAATCATGTGGTCCCAGTCGCAGGATTTTTATTGTTTATATAAAAAAAGTCATGAATATCATTTCACAGAAGAGGAATAATGGGACCCTGGGCAGAGAATAACAAACAAAAATATCAGAGAAAAAAGCTCATCCAATGACAATAATAGTAATACTAGCATGATAATGTAAGACGGTGAATGTGGACAGACATGGATTACAGACATAACGGTTAGAATTTTACTTCAAGAACCATCGGACAAAAATAAGTAGAGAGGTCCTTTTTATCATTTAGACCTGGAGGATTCATGTCTCCCAGTGAATTATCCAGGTTGACTCTTGTTCGCACATCTTTTCCCACTGGGTTTTTGTTGTTGCAGAAGGGTTTAAAGACAGTGGTGAACTGGGACATTTATGGACATTTATGCCTTTTTATTAACATTTCTTGTGTTGTTGTTTGATTCTCTGATCTGTTGTCGGTCATTTGACAACTTTGTCAAGTCCTCCAAGACGACCGTTGATTTAAGGCTGTGGCTCGGATATGACTCAGGACAAATGCAAGACACGATATTCAGGGGATTTCATCTGTAAGGTCACAGTGTTCCTCTGTCGTATCAATCTTGTTTGGACTCTTAAAAAACTGTGCACTCCGTCTGAAAAACTGGAAATAAACGCTTTGTCATTTGTTCCAAGCATTTCTATCGTTGCCTCGGCTCTTATTTTCCGGACCATACAAAAATAAATTGAATAGATTAAAAAAACTGGGGTAGTTCGTCCTGCCGCACCCATCTGTCTCCCGTCTTCACTGAGCCTCCAAGCTGCGCTGGTTTCAAACTCGACTCAACACCCACTGCACATCAACCACAGCTCGTGACTTTACCCCCCACCCCGTCCCCATGCCCAAAAGAATTATGGGATTTGAGCAAGTAGTGAGTGTGTCGTCTCCAAATGTTCTCCCAGTGTCTCCATTACAGCTGCCTGCATACATTAACATTTTCACCACAGATTTTGCAACAGCAGCGATGACTGTGTATTACTGTGACGAGGCAGGCTGTCTCTAAAGTCTCTCCTTTGTCTCGTTGGGCTCCGACTGGAAACCGTAAATCCGCCGCACGCTGACATTGCTGTTGTTGTGTGTGCAGACGGTGAAAGGAGGCATATCCGAGACGCGCATCGAGAAGAGGATCGTCATCACCGGAGACACGGAAATCGACCACGACAAGGTGACGGACCCAGACATAGCACATGTACACCTGCAGGCGGCGCTAATGTTCACTTTCCCATAGAGCGGAAGGTTTTGTGAACAAAAGAAATAACAATTTTTTTTGTACAAATACACATGCATGCACACACAGGTCCAGGACAACAACACAGAGAAGAACATATGAATCAAACCAATATTTCAATCTGGAGAGACACAACATTTCATCAAATGAATGTATTCGTTAGTTTGTTTGGCAGCCTAGGCCCCAGCAGCGGCACTTTGTGATGGCATTTCCTTGTGTGTCGTTTGTGTGTCACTTGTGTGCTGCTTTTTATCCTCCAGGACCTAGGTACTGGTGGTGGCATAAGGGTGAAGTTGAGATGAGAGTGTGGCTAAAAGGTCGAGAAGGTGGTTGTGAGGCGTGAGGAGACGAAAGTGACGCCAGAACTTGGGAAAGGGTTAGATGTCGGGAAGTTTCTGCTTTTACACAGCTGCTTAATTGGCGTAGGTTTGCAGTGCTGTGATTGGCCGAGGGTTAAAGGCTGGCTTTGATGTTCTGCAACATTTCGCCTACCAGACTGAATCTACGCAGGCTTCAGATCTCCCATTGGGGAAAAAAACAATTCTGTTCAGTATTGCGATATTTTGTGCACGCAAATAACTCAATACAATAGAAATAAGTATAATGATATTTAATTAAATAAATATGTGTTTAATTTTTGTATTTTCTCTGAGTCTACATTTGCGTATTACTTCCGCAAGGTGGCGCTTGTTGCTATGCTCGGTTCTTTTGTGCATTTATTCAACAGCGAGTTCAAAGGAAAATGGCTTCATGTTTTCATGTTTTTCCCTAATTTTTTGTTTTGCCTTTGAATAATATGAGAGACATGAATCGTAAAACTTGCTCTATTGTGATATCTTAACAATCGCAATAACATTGTATTGTGGCCCAAATATCGCAATGCTATCAAAATTCTATCTGAACATTTCTGCTAATTCCCACCGCTAATTTTAACTCATTTTTCTTTAAGAACGCTTAAAGGACAAGCTCTTTGCCATTTTCGTCTTGAGAAAGTACAGCAGCTCTCTGAGTGAAAAAGGTTGGGGACCCCTGATCTATGCAGACTTTTTACAGTCATCAATATTAGAATACACAACATGTAAGAGCCAAACATGTGCAATGATTGGCCTGTGGGGGCGCCTGTGTGTTATGTCTGCATTTCACATTTCCAAATGTGAAATGCGTTGTGTATTTCATATTTGACATAATATTCTCCACTGTACAAGAGGAAGCGCGATCAATCTCTGGAGTCTATTCTTTGAGTTTATTAAATCATAATTTCTTTGTATGGATTAGATGTGGTGTCTTATATCCGCCAGAGACAAAGTGTTTTATGAGGCGTCAGAGCAGAGAGAGGATCGCCTCGTGACACGGACCAGATTTACTGTGGACCTCTGTAGAAGTTTCACTAAACAAGATCAGGATTTATGTGTGAAGCAGTGAGCCACAGCAGAGGCCGAGACTGGGAAGGATTCTAGTCAGGATTCTGTATTTCTAGTATAGCGCTGCAGGGGAGCGCTTCTGCTGATGGTTTTTCATAAATATTGGATGTTTCTATTTTTTTTTATTAGATACAATATTTTCATTATAATTTGTAATACTGATTTTTATTTGCATCGATTAAATTAAAAACATACAAATTAGAATGACACAGGTAATCAAAAATTCTGCCTCTGAACGGTTTCTTGCCAGGCTTAAATTGGATGATTTACTTGGCAAACCGATGAATTGGAAAAGACATTCATCATGTTGCTCTGTGATTGGATCTCCCCCTAGAGCTGCATGCACAGACTAAATACATCCACATGGGAAAGAGGAAAATGAATCACAGGATTGAGAGGTCTTTAAACTTGTATTAGCTAATGGTTGATGGTTAGCAAAGTGCAATTATCAGTCCTCCTGTGTACGGTGTGTATGGTGTATATGGTGTGTACATACAGTTGTGCGTGCTTCGTGTGTTTGTATGTGTGTGTGTGTGTGTGTGTGTGTGAGAGAGAGTTGCTTTTTTGTTGTTGGGTTCTGAATGAAAAGCCGTTAACGCTGTGCCGTGTGCTCCGCAGGCCCTGGCTCAGGCCATCAAGGAAGCCAAGGAGCAGCACCCCGACATGTCTGTGACCAAAGTAGTGGTGCACCAGGAGACGGAGATCACCCCCGAGTGAGGAGGGGGCGGCAGGTGAGGAGTAGAACACACACACACACACACTTACATGAGCGCACATACTCTCATTTTTCCTCTTTACCAGATTTGTTTTCGCCAATTCAATCTTCAACCTCATCAACACATTTGGGTTCTTCCTAACTGAATCCATGTAATTATTCATCTTTATTTCAGACTCCAATCAAATTGCCCCATATGTTTTAAAAAGAAATGGGAATACATAAAAAAACAAAGATTAAAGGGGCAGTATGTAATATGCGTGACCTCATAATGTCATTGGAATTACAATCACAGCTTTGTTGCCAGAATCTTCTCGTTTGTGACGCATGTAGCTCCTAAGCTCTGATTTAGCTCGTAACAGCTCTGTGTATTATGTATGAATATCGGCATATACTTTTGTATCTGCTATAGTTTAAACAAATGTGTGGTGAGCCAAAGAGAGCCAAAACTACATTTCATATAACAAACAGGGAACCCAAATGAGAGGCTCATTCTGCTCTCTGATTGGCTAATATGCTTGAAAATCTAAATATATACATGTTATGGACTTTTCCATTGTTTTTTAAATTTTAATTCTTAATTTCTATTAAGAATATTGAGTTGTTTATGTGACCTGTTAACTGGAGACACATACCGTAACATGAACATTATTTCGATAATCAATGCGTTGTTTTAGTCCCGAAAGGTCAGTGAATGTCGGATTTTTTTTGGGACCAAAAACAAAGCTCAATTGATGCCTCTGGAAAACCTCTTCATACAAATGTGACTTGTTACATAGTGGATTGTTGATTAAACAGAATCGAGTCATAAAACCTCCCCTCAGCATGTTCAAGTCTATGTAATGGTTCAAAAACGATTCATCGATGAACTTGTTAGAGCCCTAGCGTTGGCGCTCTAATCTCTCACTCCATTTGTCTTGTTTATTCATATGTTTTCCGTAAGACATTCTAAAAGACGACATGCTGCAGAGTGACGTTGCAAAGGTCGAGTCCTTGTAGCTGACAGCTCTAATGTGAGTGTCAACCATGTTTGGATGAAGTCATAATCTGACCAAATATTATTAGTGTGAGCGCTGGTGGAGCGGGGCCATCAGGGACATGCTGCACCCATGTGCCCGCTCTGCCTCTCCGCTGGGGGGGTGCGGGGGGGGGGGGGGGGGGGGGGGTATTTCCAGTGGAAATACTGTTTAATGCAACAACTTTAACTACATTAGATATGGCATCATCCTGGGAGAGAATATACAGTAATATAGCAAATTATAATAAAGTTAAAGTAGCAATATGTAAGATTTTCATGTCAAGTCATCGTTAAATGGCCCCAATCTGTCAAAAGGCATTGATAAACCATGCTCTTTTCCAATACTTCTTAAACTGATAACAGTAGTTCCGCCGAGGTATTTGAAATTCCAAATTAGTTTTACATCCCCTAAATCTAGTTATTGTTTTCATTTTGATGTCCCGCCCTCCACCGTTTCACCAATCAGAAAGTCTGTGATCCAGGTTGCCAGAACTCACTGCACAGGGACTGGACTCCTGTTAGTGCCCAGAGTCAGGACTAAACATGGGGAGGCTGCATTTCAGATTCATGCTGCTAAAATCTGGAACAATCTTCCTGAAGATGTGAGACAGGCCTCCTCTCTGACAATGTTTAAAACCAGGTTAAAAACTGTTCTGTTTAGCTGTGCATACAACTGAGGGATTTTATATTTGTCTTTTTAATGTACTGTGATTATTTATGATTTTAATGCAATCTTAATTTGTCCAGCATTTTGAGTTGCCTTGTGTATGAAATTGTGCTATACAGATAAACTTGCCTTGCCTTGCCTTGCCTAAAGTTCCATGTGGCCGCAGAACTAAAAGAGGTCTTGTTATGATTCTGAAATCATAAACGGCCTTTGTGAAAAAGGTGGTAGTTTTAGATTTGTTGTTGACAAAACTCTTGTATATTCACCAATTACAGTATGTTCACAGCTGGATTCGTCTGCATATCTGGCAACCTGAATCAGGGAGCGTGGGAGAGGTTGCAGTACCGCTTTTGGCCAGATTTTTTTACACATTGCTCCTTTAAATAAATCAAGCAGAATGGTATTTCAGATCTCAAGTAATCCCCTGGCTAAAAAATGGTTCTAACTATGTATTAAAAGGTGGACAAATACCACCATCTTGGAGAAGAGCAGTAATATCTGTGATTCACAAACCAGGTAAAGATAAAACAGAATGTGGCTCTTTTCGGCCAATATCTGTTTTAAACATCGATTATCGCATTTTTGCGACAATACTAGCTAAGAGGCTTGAGGTTTTAATTCCAGAATTGACAGACACTGATCAATGTGGCTTTGTTCGCAACAGACAGACTCATGACAACATTAGACGTGCTCTTAACCTTATTCATAAAATGGAAAATTTTGAATCTGTTGCAGTCAGTCTTGATGCTGAAAAAGCATTTGATTCTGTTAGTTGGGAATATCTATATTTAACTCTGAACAGATTTGGTTTCAACACAAACATAATCAACTGTCTAAAATCAATATATGAATCACCCTCTGCCAGAATCAAGATTAATGGGGACCTTTCTGACACTGTATATTTGAAGAGAGGTTGTCGTCAGGGTTGCCCGCTCAGCGCTAGCCTTTTCGCACTTTTTATTGAGCCATTGGCTCAAGCAATTAGAGAACATCAAGGTATTTCAGGTATAGCAATAGGAGAAACCACACACAAGATCTGTTTGCATGCAGATGACGTCCTCTTGACATTGACCAATCCAACAGACAGTTTACCCAATCTTTTGCTTGAATTTGGATCATATTCTGGATATAAACTAAATTTACAGAAAACTCAAATTATTTCTCTTAATTATCAGCCAAAAAGGGACATTTCTAAGTTGACAAATTTTTATTTTAAAAGGCAATAGCATTAAGTATCTAGGAATAATTATACCAAAGGATATATCGTTACTTTAAGATGAAAATTATGGAAAACTCACAGCCAACATTAAATCTGATCTACAACGATGGGCACTGACAACAATGAACATGTACAACAGAATTGAGATAGTTAAAATGAACCCATTACCAAGGTTTCTTTACCTATTTCAAGCATTATCGATCGAAATAACTTCTACACAATTTAATGAATGGAAAAGAATGTTGTCAAATTTTATATGGGGAAACAAAAACCAAGAATTAGATTTCAGACTTTACAATTACGAAAAGAAGAAGGTGGATTAGCTCTACCATGTTTGGAAAGCTATTACAAAGCAGCTCAGTTAAGAGTACTGCTAAACTGGAGTGATCCTAGCTGCGAGGCTAAATGGAAAGAGATAGACCAGTCTTATTTTGATATCCCTTTACAATCTATGGTCGGTGACAAACCACTATTGAAAATACATACAAAATCTCACTTATTGCCCCTCTGGACAAAAACACCAATAATTGTGTGGAATAAAATACTTAAAAACAAGAATGTTGAACAAAAAAACAAAATATTACGTTGGCCAGCTTATGACTCTGATTTTTTACCAGAAAAAACTGATAAGAGATTTACAATACAATACAATACACAATACAATTTATTCTTGTATAGCCCTAGGTCACAACAGAAGTCATCTCAGAGGACTTAACAAAACCATTGAAATCACCAACACAGGTCAGAGAATCAACAGTTAAAACACATGAAGAATATAAAGCACACACAGAAGAAAATGTCCATACATGTTGTAGAATGCTAAAGTGTCCTGATCATCACCAATCCTTTCTGTTGGACACTAACTGTCCAACAAGACCCTCCTGCATCGACAAGGAAAAACTCTTAAAAAACCCAGTGGGAAAAAGTGAGAAACCTTGGAGGAGAACTAGGGAAACCCACAGGGAGGGAGACCCATATGAGAAAGGGATCCGCTCCTCCGGACGGACAGGCTAATGATCTAGGACCTAAGCTAGCTACAGAACGTGGACCAGTGGACGCTGAACGTGGACAGGTCCGGTGCAGGACTGAAGCACTCCCAGGCGGGTCGGGCGGGGCAGTCCGCAGGTGTAGATGGAAGAGGCCAGGCTCAGAGATCCCGTCATCGTACCATGAAACAGACAATGGGACAACGGGTGAATAGCAATGAACAAACTACAGTCAGAATCCTAAAAATGCTAAACAGATAAAGTAGGAAGGAGGAGAGGATAGTGCTCAAGTTACCATACTTCTCCCAGCAAACTGACTCCCTATGCAGCTTGACTAACACTCTGAGGAGTTTAACCTTCTCCGAGTCTTACCTTCCTAGCCATATGCTAAACTATAGAGGACTGTTTTAAACCTAGCCTTGAATAAAGAATAACATACAGCCTAATATATAACATAATATACAACATAACACAATACATTATTGAATAATATATAACATAATATATAACATAATACAGCATATATATATAATATATACACTACATATTATATATTACCTAATTATATGCTAAATTAAAGTAAAGTGCTTTAAGCCTGGCCTTGAATGTGGAGACCGTATCTGCTTCCTTAACATAAATGGGAAGCTGATTCCACAGTAAAGGAGCTTGGTAGCTAAATGCTCTGCCACCAACAGTGACCTTTGAGACCTTAGGGACCACCAGACGTCTGGCGTTTTGTGAGCGCAACGCTCGACCTGGTTGATACGACACTAACGTGTCTTGGAGATAAGAAGGAGCCAAGCCATTTATGGCTTTATATGTTAAGAGTAGGATTTTAAACTTTATTCTGTACTCCACAGGGAGCCAGTGGAGTGATTTTAACACCGGAGTTATGTGCTCCCTCCTTTTGGTACCTGTTAAGATCCTAGCTGCTGTATTCTGAACGAGCTGGAAGCTCTTCAAAGAGGCTTTAGGGCACGCTGCCAGTAAAGCGTTACAGTAGTCGAGCCTTGAGGTGACAAACGCGTGAATGAGTTTTTCCGCGTCACTTTTAGGAAGGAAATTCCTAATTTTAGCGATGTTCCGTAAGTGGAAGTACGCCGTTTTAGTTG